TTAAATTACAGTAACAAGTGTAATTAAATATTGATAATCAATAAAAATAACTTACAATCTAAATTATTGTAAAAAATTTAGTTGACTTTAAATTACAATAATAAGTGTAATTAAATACTAATAATCTATAAAAATAACTTACTCTCTAATAGAATTTATTTTTAAATAAAAAATTTAATTAAATTTAAATTATAATAAAATATAAATTTATTTAAGATTAAATATTAAAAAAAAAAATATAATTAAATAAATTAATTTACCATCTAATGCTAAAGTATTAATTATTTTTTTTATTTTTAATATTAAAGTATAAAATAAATATTTAATTAATTTTTTTAAAATAAAAAAATTTAATATATATAAAAATTATAATTAAATAATAATAATGACTTACTTGCTATTATTTTTATAATAAAAAAATTTTTAAATAAAAAATTTATTAAAGTAATTTAATTAAATATAGATAATTAATAAAAGTAACTTACTTGCTAAAAATTTCATATTTATTATATATTTAAAAAATAAAAAATTTGATTAAGATTAAATTTATAATAAAAGTATAATTAAAATCACATAATTTACCATCTATTTATTATTCATTTTTTTAAATAAAAAATTAATTAAGTTTTAATTATAGTAAAATTATAATTAAATATAAATAATCAATAAAAATAACTTACTTGCTAAGAATTTCAATTATTAAAAAAAAAATTTAATTAAGATTAAATTATAACAAAGGTATAATTACAATATGATTAATAAAACAGCTTACAATCTAAAAGATTTAATATTTTTTAAATAAAAAATTTAGTTAAAATTTAAATTACAAAAAAAAAGTATAATTAATACTGTTAATTAATAAAAATAACATACTTTCTAATATTAATATATTAAAATAAAATTTAGTTGAGTTTAAATTATAGCATTATAATTAATAACTTACGTTCTAAATTATTAAATATTAATTTAATAAACATTTAGTTATTTTAATTATATAAAAAGTATAATTACTTACTTTCTAATATAATTCATTATTAAATATTTTTTTTAATTAAAAATTGTGATAGATTATGAATTATAATAAAACTTAAATTCAATATGGATAATCTATACAAACTTACCAACTAAATTCGTAAACATTTTATTAACAAGAAAAATTATAGTTAAGTTTAAATCACAATAAAACATTAATTATAATCAGTAAAAAGAACTTACTTTCTATAATTATAAATAATTAAATATATTTTAAATAAATTTTATTAAGTTTAAATTATAATAAAAGTGTAAATAATCAATAAAATAACTTACTCTCTTGATAATTAATTATTAAAGATTAAAAACTTTGATAGTAAAATTATAATTAAATATAAATAATCAATAAAATTATTTACCGACTATTGTATTATTAATTATTAAATATTTTAAAATAAACTTAGTCGAGTTTAAATAATAATTTAATATAGATAATCAATAAAAATAACTTACCAACTATTAATAATTAAATTTTGTTTGAATAAAAATTTATTGAGTTTAAATTACAGTATAAATAAAAATCAATGAAAAACTTACGTTCTACAATTTAAATAATATAGTTAAGCTTAAATTACAATAAAAAAATATAAAAAATCCATAAAAATGACCTACGTTCTAAGTTATTAAACATATTTAGAATTAATTATTTTATTAAAGATTACCGCTTATTTATTAAATCGATAATAAAAATTTTTTTTACCATATAATTCTTCTAATTCGGGAGCGTCTAATTAAGAAAATTCTTTTTGAATATTTATCTTTAGCATGTAGAAATAAATTAAAAATGTACCCTCAACTTTATCGTTATTATCCGACATTGTAGTTGTAAAGTCTACAGGAATAAAATTGAACAAACAATACATTTATAACAATAGCATTCCGCAGAAAAACCTAAAAGGTAGTGATTTTCACCTTTTAACCATTGACCAATAAAATAATATACAGTATATCAAATTTCAAACCAAATTTATTTGTTATTTACATCTATATACTAAAAAAAAATTAATAACAATATGGTCGCTATTTACCCTACTTGAATTAGAAGGCATATATTTCATGCAATATAATAAGGAGCTTAACTGCCGAAACTTTATTAAATTTATGGTCAAATAATTTAAGTTTACTCAGATCAATCTAATGAACTAATAACGTTGCATAATTTATAATTTAGATGTTTTTGATACTTCAATAGATTATGTCATTAGGAAAATAATTTCACCATTCAACGAGTCAAACTGTTGATTGATCCCATACATTATATATTTATTCGACTTTTTTAGTTGAAAATTTAATTTTCTCACTTCGGTAAATAAAAGCTTCCGTTATCAAAAATAAATTTAAGAGTTCTCTTTATTCTTTAGAAGCGAAAAAAAAAATTAAAATAATTTGGCTTCCGATTTGGCACATATGCACAAAATAAAAACGCGAACGTATAATATCAACAAAACAAATCCAATAGAATCTCATACATATTTTTATTTTCGAGTTTGAGGTTATCAACTTTTTTGCAATGAGATTTTTTTCGAACTGGACGGAGGATTGGATAAATTCGTCTGGTTAAAAGCGAAGAAACAATTTGAACGGATTCCTCGCCATCCATTATGCGACAAGGCCATTAACCAATAATTTTGATGGAGGATATACCCTCTGATACTTACCAAATGAATTAAAGTTAACGTTGAAGGTACAATAAAAATAACGCTTAAATATAGAGTCTAAAAGATATGAAAGAGGTGCCAAATTATCAAATTGATTATTCCGAAATACGGACGAATATTATCGGGACAAATTTTTGATTAATCAACAAACTTAATAAAACTTTTTTACGTCAGTGTAATGGTGCAGAACGTAAACTCGAAGTTTATATTTATAAGCTTTACAAATGGTTTTTAAGTTAAAACCGCTTTCCTCATTATAAAAAATAATAATAAAAATTAAATCGATCTAGTGAAATAGAAGGATATAATGCAGAGGATTTTTTAAATGCACGGTTACCGATTGAAGATAAAAGATTGTATGTAGCACGGAGTTTCAGATTAGCGGCCTGCGTAAAAAAATCAATGTCTTACCGAGCGAAAAAGACATATTCTACTTATTTCGCTTTTAAAGTTTAATTAAAAGTATTACTGTTGAAATTTAGAGGAAAATAAAAATTAATTCGTTTAAAAGGTGTTTGCAAAAGAAATTAGGAAAGAAGTTGTGTTTGAAGTTAAGCCATGGATAAAATAAGATAGGAACAAAAAGAACTTTTTTTTTTATCTTTTTACTTCATAAATTGAAGTTAGAACAATTCCATCTGAGCAATAAAAGGAATGGTCTTCATTTAACAATCAGCATCAAAATAATATCATTAGCTGCGCAAATATTGCTTTTTAAAATATTATTAAAGTAATAAATATTTCAATTTATGTGTTGCGTTCAAATTTAAAAATTAATTAAATTGTACTGTCGTTCAATTAACATAAGTTGGACAAAATTAAAAGTAAAAAAAAAAATCATTTGGAAAATAAAAGTCGTGTACCATACAAATTGCATTTTTCATTTATTATTATTATTATTTTTTTTTTTTTTTTTTTTTTTTTTTTTTTTTTTTTTTTTTTTTTTTTTTTTTTTTTTTTTTTTTTTTTTTTTTTTAAACAACTGTTAAACAAATACAAAAAGACAACAAAATATTACATTTAAATCTTCCGTTGTGACGAATTAAGCTTTTCTCCAAATATGGTAAAATTTATTGAATGATGACCCTTTTAAGGTAAATCTGTTAAAAGAAATCCTTGTTTAATGATCTACAGTGCAACAGTGCATGAAAAAAGTTACGGCGCCGCATTATTGGTTTATCGATCGTTATTCGCATTTTAATAACGAAAAACTTTATTAGTTTGTAGGGATCGGAGGACAAGAAATCCAAGTCCCTTGGAGAAAACGATAAATTAATGCATTTAATTGGATTATGAGTACAAGACCAGTTGTATGTAAGAATTTTCTTATAAAAAATGTCGAGTTTTTTCACCTTTCAATTTTCAAATATTCAGTTCTGAAATATTTACGACAATCATTAAAAAAGAATCAAAGGATTCCTTTCAGTTAACTTTATTTCAATTCTTAAATAATTGATCTCACTCTCGCACACCTACAGCAATGAAAGGAATCAATATTGCCATTTTAACCACCTTTGTTTTGGCAATTCTTTATGCAACTACTTCAGTTGCTTCAATTCCCGTTAAAGCTGGTATTGAGAAATCATCGGTGACTTTATTCAGCAGAAGAGGTATAAATAATTATGAAATTGACTCGAATGACTTTTCATCCGAAGCTTTCATTAGATCTAGAAAAAGAAATGGTGACATTTCAGTTAGAGATCTTTAAATATAAACAAAAGAAATGCTGACATCTCTGCAACATTAAATGATTTTGTTGAAGGCAGCGCAAATGAAGATGAAGTTACCACAGCCGATGCTTCTTCAATTGTAAAAATATTGAATAAACGTCAAGCTTCCAGCGAAGTAACAGCAGATGCGGATTTCGTCGACGTGAAGTCTGAAGATTCAAAAGTTGAAGTCGAAGTTAAACCTGATTTAAATAATGTTCAGGTTGATAGTAATTCCAGCGTTGGGAAAAGATGAACTAGGTTCAAAATACAATAAATTATAGATTATCATGTTTTATATTTTCAAATGTGTAAAGTATTAAATAGAAATATATATACAATATATATTATAAATTGTATCATTTTATTCTCATGTATTTATTTTATTATAAATAATATTAGACTTTTATTCTTAAATAATTTTCGCTAATTTATATTTTATTTACAATATTTCTTGTTTTCTCATATATATTTGCTCATATTTATTTTTTAAAGTAAGTCGGAGAATTTCGAAAAAAAAAACTAGATTTTTTATTCAATACTATATATATTTTTTTATCCATAGTTCTATTCTCAATATTTGTAAAATTTTTATTTTCTTTTCGGAATGACACCTTTCAATCGATGCTCTTTCCTGATCACATTAAGATATAACATATCATTTTCGTTCAACTATCACAACAATTACAACATTTGTTTACATTGATATTATCGTGTTATGACGAGTTTAAACTTAGATCGTCAAATTTTTTATTGATATAACTAATTTTATTTAAAAAATAAAATACAGTAAAATTTTGGAGTAAATAATTTAAAACTGTAAAAGTTGGAAATATCTATTTTTAGCTATCATCCGTCATATGAAAAAAGAAAGTTTAAAAATATTTTCACCTTCTATAAATTTGGAAAGTTAGATATGATACAGAGAAAGCTAACCGTCACGTTTATGCTAGCTGTTAAATTATTACGACTCAAAGCTTATCTTGCTAAACTTTTAAAAAAAATTCATGATATTTCATATATCATTTAAACAAGCATGACTAATAGTTAAGTTATTCTTTTCAAACCTTGCTTATTCAGAATATTAAAGGTAGGTCAATTCTTTTATACTACTTCGTGAAACATGAGTGCCCTTGTTAAAGTGAACATGATTATTTATACTGCACTTTTCTATTTCAGGTTCGATGTAAATCTAATTTTTTTGAAAACAATTCTACTTATCAAACCTCATTTATTACGTACGTCGAAGAATTCTTGCAGTGCATATAATCCGACCTTCCAGACTCGGATATTATATCGCAATAAATAAACGTAAAGAAAGATAAAGGAAGATCAATTTTTTTGCAGGGAGGGCAAATCTCATTTTCAGACGACATTTAAAATGTATTTACTAAATGAATAGTATCGATTCCTTTCTTAAAAAATTTTTCGATGCTTCAACACAATCGCTTCTTCAAATGGCACAAACGATAATTTACAAGTGATTGATTAATCTTATAAATTTTTATTTAATAAACTTTTTTCATTTAAAAAAATTAAATTAAGAATTCAGTTAAGGCCAATATCTAGTTTGCCATTATTTGTAACTAAAAAAAAGAGATTCGAAATACTTGTACAACCGCACTAACGCACTTTTGCGCAGTAAATCCAAGATGTTACAAATATCTCACGTATTATTAAGCAAAAAAAAAAAAAAAAAATAGATTGGATAAATTATATAATACCGAGCTTCATAAACTTTTCCTAAATCGATAATTATAAGACCGAAAAAATTAAAATATTTTTTTTTTTTTTTGAATATTGAATCATTGAGGTTGTAGTATAATACTGTACATCCAAAAATACAAAACCAATTATTTTTTAATGTTGAAATCAAATGACAAAATATTTATTGTCAATCGTGGCACATGTGGCACAGTACGATTCGGAGTTTTCTTTTATTTTTACAAAACAAGTAAATAAAATCATACATATTAACACATGAAAGAGATTCTTAAATATGGAAACCCACTATGGGCGTTGCCTCGCAACGATTACCTAAGAACGATTTAAAACAATCCTTGAAACAAAATAACTGTTATAAAATGAGATTATGAATAATAATAAAAAAAAATTGGAAGGTAAAAACAAAGGTTAATTAAACTAATTTAAATTTAATTCCTTCAAACTATATTATTGAAACTAAAGATTTTTTATTTTTTTTGATAGGTATTGAAATTGTAAATATTCTAAATATTAAATATTTTAAAAATATTTTTTAAAATTATGTAAATTACGTGTAACAACCACCTTTCAAACGAATCATTAATTTATATTAATAATTCCAAACATTGCTGGAAATTTCTTCAATGTTAACCACAAAAAGGAATTCATTTTACAAAATTTGTAACACAAATTCATCACAAGTTCTCATGTTCCCGAGTCAATATGCTTTGTCCCGAATCAACTTTCTTCGAAAATTTTCCATCATATAAAACCAATCAAATGTTCTGTATCTTGCACGAGGTTTCATCTTCTATAAGATATAAAGAGGTGCTAAAATTTCGAGAATTTAATTCAATATACAACAACATGTCACAAGACCCTCTCTACTTGGATATTAACAGCTTGGCCAGCCTCGCTGATCTTTTTCGGATGGTTGAAGAGCCTGAGTGTTCCAAAGTTCGATTTGCCGAAAATGTGAATCTACGAAAGTATATCGAAAAGTCTTATAGAGGAAATATCTTACCCTACAACAATTGGACACAACGCATGTTACGTTTGGAAGAAATTAAACTTCGCTTACCTTCACTTGCGAATGCGGGTGATGTCGATGAACTCGTTCAAAGGTTGAATAGCGCTAGCCCCCTTGATGAAGAGCAGAGTTATTCGGCTGGGATAGTCATTCAGCTGGTGACACGTTTGTTGACCTTTTCGCTGCAATTTCGAAGATCTCTCTCCGCTGTGCCAAAAGATCGTTTAACTTCGGCTCTATCTGCCGTATCGGATTACCATAGTGCTGTGTTGGATCTCTCGAACCCTTTCACAACGTTACCGTGGAAAGTACTTGAGAACGATTTCATGGAAAAAGCTCAAAATATGTTACAATTACCTTTCAATCCGTATGTATATTGGTTTTAATATATATTTTTTTTATAAGGTTTTTCATTTCTAACGTTTGAACGTTCGATCTAAAATGTATGACACAGGTACAGCGATCCGACGGGTGATATGAAAGCGTAACGTATCATAAATCCTCTTTGTCCGTGACTACAGCCTTTCTCACACGATTTCTTTCTTAAACTATTGCAGAATCATTTCCGGTGCATCTCCTTTTGTAGTCACAGGTGGCGCGATACAACCCTTGGACACG